TGTGAAAGCCTGAGAGAGTGTCTTCTCCCCATGTGACTCTCCTTAGGCCCACTCTATGTCATCGATCACTTTCCTCTTTGGCCCCATAATCTTCTTGACCAGAAAATTTGGGACACTACTGAGGCGTTTGCGTTTTTTTAAACAGCAGTGTCTCTTCCAAGAGTTGAGAAAGGAGATTTCTTGTTTAAATATGAATCTTTCTACTTATTTGTTAGGCACAAGTAAGATTTTCTTCTGTAAGGATTTTGGAAAACTCCTTAAGCATATTAGTTCCTCCTTTTATTTCAACTATTATTACTAAGAATCTCAAAATTGGGGTTGGGTAGGTAGTTCAGTGGTCTAAGCACCTGGCAAGTGCAAGGACCCAGGTTTGATCCCCCACACATGTTGTGCCGGGCCTTCCACACCGGCCACCAAAACCAGGCATGGTAGCACATGTCTGTTATTCCAGTGCTGGGGAGGCTGAGACAAGCGGATCACCACAAGTGCGAGCTGCATAGCAAGACTCTACCAAATACATAGATTTTTTTTAAAAAAAGAAAGAAATCTCAAAATTGATTGTATGCCTAAGTCAATAATATACTGAAAACTTTTTTAAAAAAAATTTTAGGGATGGGTCTACAGGGTGTTCAGGGTCTCACTGCTAGATCAGACTTGTAGTGATCTGCCCGTTTACAGCCTCCCAAGGGCTGGGATTACAGGTGCGTGCCACCATGCCCAGTCTGAATTGCCATCTCAGTGCACCCTGGGGGCAGGGCTGGCACGTCAGGCCTGGGGATCAAACCCCGGACCCATGCTCCTGCTTGCAGGCGCTTTCTAATCTGCTGAGCTATTTGGTTGGCCCTTGGAAACTCTTAAATGTCTTAACAGAAACATTAGATTCCTTTAAACTGTTGTGATGAATATAGGTTATATTATATAGTGATTGAATGTAATTCATTGTCCTGAATCTGTACTAGTTCCAGGATACTCAACTGGACATACATTTTTAAAGATAAGCCCCCACAATATGCATATTTTGTTGCATGGCATTTTCCTAAAATAAAATACAAATAGGAAAACATCTGTTTCATTCTTCATGAGATTTTTATACTGTTGTTTGGCTTTGAAGAGTTCAGTCTGTGGTGGTACAATGTAATTCCAGCACTCAGGAGGCTGAGGCAGGAGGATTGCTACACCTTCTAGGCCAGCTTGGACTACAAAATAAGCTCTAGACCAGTCTGAGCAACATAGTGAAATCCTATGTCAAAAAAATGGAAAAAAAAAATTTTTTTTTTTTTTTTTTTTTTTTTCAGTATCGGGGATTGAACTCAGAACCCTGTGCTTGCCAGGCAAGCATTTATTCTACTGAGCCATCTTCCCAGCCTTAAAAAAAAAAATTTTTTTAAGGGCTTACTGAAATAGCTGATATAAATGTTGGCTTCTTTAGCCCCCAAAACAGCATGAGTTAATTGAGCCGTAAGGGTAATTTAAGCATTAGTTTGTCGAATAAACTTTGACAGGATTCGTGTAAAAAGCATTACATTGTATTCCCTTACTTCAGCTTGTTAAACATCACTTAGAAATGGTCCTTTGGTTAAATACCAAGTCAGCTGTCATGTTTATAAAATTAGTACGTGGAAGTCACAGGCCTCCTTACTACTAGTTTCTTCAGAAGACATTTCTGTAATAATTTCATGCCAGCCTTCAAGTCTCAAGCCTCAGTTCCATAGTGTTTCCATATGGAATACATTTTGATTGTTTTATTTGGTGCTACTAGGGATTGAACTCAAGGACTTTGCACTGAGTTATACCCCTGTCCTTCTTTAATTTTTCATTTGGAAACTATTACTGCATTGTCCAGGCTGATACTTTAATATACTGAGTTCCTTGTTTTGTAAAACTCTTTTTGAATAAAGGCTTACCAGCCAGACATGGTGAAGACACTGTTCATACTTACTGTCTTCCTGCTTCGGCCTCCCAGAGTGGTGGGATTCCAGGCCTGTACCACCATGCCTGGCTTCTAGCTAGAAGGCTTTTATTTTTTGATCTTTGAGATGGGTTCTTACTATGTAGTTCTGGCTGGCCTTCAACTCAATATGTAGGGTAAGCTGGCTTTAAACTCACAGCAGTCCTCCTGCCTTAGCTTCCCAGAGTGCTGAGATTACAGGTGTACGCTGCCATTCCTGGATTTTTTCCATGTATGATTGTTTTTGTCTTTTGTTTTATGGGTTTTGTTTTGTTAAGACAGGGCCTCACTATGTAGTTCAGGCTGACCTGGAGCTCTTGTGCAGCCCAAAACAACCTCCAGTGGGCAGCAGTCCTCCTTTCTCAGCCTCCCAAGGGCTAGGATTACAATCATACACCACCACACCTGGGTTAAAGTTGTTGTTTAATGCAGTTCTCATAAAGTAGGACTGTTCTCTGACTTCACTGTTGTTTTGAAACAGATTTCCAAAGAGTCAGAGGACTTCATTGTGGAGCAGTATAAACGTCTTCGCCAGAGGGATGGTTCTGGGGTAGCCAAGTCTTCATGGAGGATTACAGTGCGACAGCTGGAGAGCATGATCCGTCTCTCTGAAGCGATGGCCCGCATGCATTGCTGTGATGAGGTAGGCTTACTTTGACATCGTGAGGAGAAAGAGAAAGTGAATTGTTGGTTCCTTGGCATGTTTTTAACTTTGATATAGGACATGCTTGACTAGTTGCAGATTTATTTTTTATGTAACTGAGATACAGGATACATGACTCAGGCTTGTCCCATTAAAAAGGTTGCTCAAGCATTGACTGAATGTAGTAGTTAGTAGCAGCAAGATAATGATGTTATAGATAACAAAGCATATACAGGTGAGTTGCTATTTATTTATTCAGGAAAAATGTATTTAGATGTAGTGTATTAGGCCTCTGGGCTGGAGATATGCATATGATGATATAATCCCTGACCCCAAAAAGAATTTTGCTCTGTATTCCTACATAGTGTACAATTATTTGGTGCAAGGGATTAAGCCCAGGACCCTGTATATACTAATCACATTCTACCTTTTTTCTTTCAAGTGTATTTTTTTAATAGTGCATGTTTTAATCCCTGGTTCCACCAAAAAAAATGGTGCGTGTTTGCAATACATTTATCTTGGGAGTTCATATGTGAACATAACACATTTGCATTCTTTTTTGTGCCCTCTCCTCTTCTGCTCTCCCCTTCTAATTTGAAAAGGCCCTATTTTCTTTCTTTCTTTCTTTTTTGTCAATTCTTTTTTTCATACTTTTTCCTTCCCTTCCCCTTTCATCTCTTGTTCCCATCCTGTTTGAAAAAGATCAGCCTATTTCCTACTATCTATCCTTTCCTGTGTTTTCTCTTTACTTATATTCTGAGTTTCTCTTGTAAGAAATATGCAATATTAAACTTATGTGTCATATGTTTCATTTGACATTATGGTCCCAAGTTGCATCCATTTACCTGCAGATGCCTCAAATTTATTGTTTGAGTCCTAAGCCCGCAGGAATGTATCAGTGAGTAGTGAGGTGTAAAGAAAGGATTGCGGAATGAAAAGTGGAAGGACCTTCCAGCTGTTTCTCCACATCTGCTTCAACCACAGTGCTTTTATGCTGGGAATGGTAGCATATGCCTGTAACCCCAGCACTTGGGAGGCGGAGGCAGGAGGATCACCATGAGTTCAAGACTATGGAAAGAGCTCAAGGCCAACCTGAATTAACAAAGTGAGGCTGTGTCTCCAAAAAAAAATCGAGGCAGCTTTTATGTAGTTTTAGGTGAGATATAAGATTTTGTGAAAGGAATTTGGGACTTTATTTATATGTATTATTGAGGTGTAGTTTGGGAAAATGTTCCACTTGGTGTTGTCTTTTTTTTTTTTTCAATGCCTTCTTGTATCTTCTCAGCCTTGGGTATAAAATTTGCCACATCCTAGAAAGTCCTTGTGTGTACTTTTTCAGCTTTAGCCCTCCTCCCCAGAAAGGGACCATTGTTGAGATTTCATCACTTTCATCTTATAGATTAAGCTTTTAGGTTTTGTGGGGTTTTCCCTTTTTAAAAAAAAAAAATTTTTTTTTTAAATCATTTATTTTTTTATTTGGTACTGAGTCTCACTATGCAGCTCGAACTCACAGTGATCCTCTTGTCTCAGCCTCCCCAGCGCTGGAATTACAAGGTTGCACCACCACACCCAGCAGGACATGAGGCCGGGCATGAAGTACTGGGATCAAACTCGACCGTGAGCTTGCCAGGCAGGCGATTAGACCACCGAGCTATCTCCCCAGCAGTTTTCCTATTTTTTGTTTAGTTTCTAAACTCTGATCTTCTGCCAGTTGTTTTGTCCTTTGTTTTTTGTAGTACTGGAGATTGAGCACTGAGCCTTTGCACCAAGCTACATCCTCAGCCTATTTTTTACTTTTGCTAAATTGAGACAGTCTCACTAAGTCGGACCAGGCTAAGCTCAAACTTGTAGTCCTTTGCCTCCGCCTCACAGAGCCCGCCTAGGGATATAGGCATGTACCACCAGGCCTGGAGTCCATCCCTTGGCCTGCTGTTATTTCTCTAGTACAATCCCTTCGACTTTCCTGTCATCTTTTTCTCATTTTTTGTCCCACCCCCACCCCCATATTCTACATTTGAAAGAAAACATGAGGTAGATGGGTGAATTTGGATGTTTTGAGTTTGGTTTTGTTTGGCTCGGCTTAGTTTGGTTCGGTTCGGTTCAGTTCAATTCAGTTTTGATTTGGTTTGGTTTAGTTTGATTGCGATAGAGTCTTGCTGTATAGTCCAGGCTGAGTTTGAATTCAAAATTCTTGTCTCAACCTCTCAAGTGCTGGAATTACAGGCTTGGTACCAGCATGTCCATTTCACACATGATATCTGATACTCTTGGGTCTGATTTATCTCAATTAATTTAATGATCTCCAGTTCTGTCTTAATGTTCCTGTGGATGACAAGAATTTTGTTCATTTGGCTGAACAATTCTCCATTTTATATATATACATTTTCTTTATCCATTCATTTATTGACTGGTACGTAACTGCCTCTATAGTTTAGCTATTGTGAGTTGCCCTGTAGTATTTTGTGCTGAATCAAATGGTACCTCTGTCTTAGTTTTTTGAGAAATTAGGCTGATTCCTCTAGTAACTACCTAATTTACATTCCCATCCATAGTGTAAAATAGTTTCTTCCGGCTGCCCTTGAACTTGCTCTGTAGCCAAGGCGGCCCTTAAATTTATGGTCCTCCTGCCTCAGCCTGCTGAGTGCTGGGATTATAAGCATGCATCACCATACCTGGCATTTTTTGTAGTCTTAATGATAGCTGTTCTGACTAGGGTGAGTCAATATACATTAGTCTTGATTTGCATTTCTATAATGGCTGTAGGGGACCTGCCCATTAGCTTAGTTAAGTGCCTGCTTAAAGAAAGCAGTGAGGCTCAGGATGCTGTGGTTGGATCCCCAGATCCTCAGGCCAAAGCAGACCTGCCTTAAAGGCATCCTAAGACCACCCAAAAAAGTAATAATAATAATCCTTCTATAATGGCTGTAGATACTGAATTTTATTTATTTATTTTTCTATTTTTAGGGAAGGGTCTACTGGGTTTCCAGGGTCTCACTAGTAGATCAGACTTGTAGTGATTTTCCTGTTTTCAGCCTCCCAAGTGCTGGGATTACAGGCCCATGCTACCACACCCAGTCTCAATTGCCCTCTCAGCAGGCCCCCTGGGCAGGGCCAGCATGGCAGGCCTGGGGATTGAACTCCCAGCCCCTGCGCCTACTTTCAGGCAATTTAATCTGCTGAGCTATTTGCCCGGCCCAATACTGAATGTTTATTTCATATACTCATTGGCTGTTTTTGTTTGAAAAGTATCTGTTGCATTGATTTACTAACTCCTTGATTGAACTATTTGCGGTTTTAGTAAATTTCTTGAGTTCTTTGTATGTTCTGGATATGAATCATCTGTTAGAAGAGTAACTGGCAAAGATTTTCTTCCATCTTGTATACTGTCTCTTCATTTTTATTCCTTTGCTATGCAGAAGCCTTTTAATTTGATATCTTATGTGTCGATTCTTATTGAACACATTCATGTTCTGCGGTATGTGTTAATGACCCCTTTAGAGCCAGATGGCTATAGTTAACATGGGTTTGCTTCTATATATCAATCTACATGTCTGTTTTGTGCCAGTAACATGATGTTTTTTTACGGTGGGGTTTTTTTTTTTTTTTTTTTTTTTAATGAATTTAGCACAGGGTCTCACTACGTAGATCTGACTCGTCATGATTCTCCTGTTTTCAGCCTCCCAAGTGCTGGGATTTCAAGTGTATGCCACCATACCCAGTCTCAATCACAGTCTCAGTGTGCCCCACAGGTGGGGCCAGCACTGCACACTGAGGATCGAACACTGGCCGCTACACTCTGCCGGAGCAGGCACTGTAGTCTGCTTGTTAGTGTGTTTTTGCAGTGTATTTTGAAACCCAGTACTGTGGTGCCTCCAGCCCTGTTCTTTTTGCTTATTGGATGACAAAGTAGTTTTACAGTAACTTACTTGATCTTGGTGTACAATAATTTAACAGACACCTCTGTGGGATGGATAGAAGATGAATAAGAAAGTTTCTGCCTTCCACTGCTGCTAATCTAGTGGGAATAAGACATGTATAGAGCATGTAAAAAATGAGAAAATATCCCAATAGAAAATACTTTACTAGGGCCGGGAGATGGCTCATTGGAATAAGCACTTCCCTGGCAAGCTCAAGGGCCTGAGTTCAATCCCCGGTTTCGCAAAAAAATTTTAAAAAAGGAAGAAAATACGCTAATAGAGCATCACAAAAAATACAGAGATAATTTTCCATGTCCCTGAAGAAGCAGAGTGATTTATGAAAATGCTAACATTTTATGTTAACCTAATCATTGGAGGGTGCGTAAAATTTCAATAGCAGAAAGACCTTGGGGAATACAGGTGGAAAGTTGAGTGAGAGTCGTATTTAGAGGAGTATATAAAATCTGGAGATACATGTTAAGGGAGAATTTTAAAATCATGTAACATCTATGCTTAAGTCTTTGAATAGGCAGCAAATTCACATGATAGGAAAATAAAGGCACATATATCATACACAAGTGTTTTGATAGATAGATAGATAGATAGATAGATAGATAGATAGATAGATAGAGATACGTATTTTTAGCTAAGCATGATCCTAGTTAAGCATGGTGGCACTTAGAAGGCTCAGGCAGAAGGATCACAAGTTTTAGCAGCCGCGGCTACTTAGTGAGGCTGAGACATTAAGTTTGTGTGTCACCTGCGAGGGTGGACATCTTTATGATGAGTGCACACCTGTAAACCTAACACTCAAGAGGCTGAGGCAGGAGGATTGCAGGTGTGCGACCAGTCTGGGCTACATAGCAAGTTCATGGCCAGCCTGGACCATCGAGATCCTGTCAAGAAAGAAAGGAGGGAGAAAAGGAAAAGGCAATTTGAACAGACTAAGATTATTCCACTAAAAAAAAAAAATCTCTGAAGACTTCAGAGAAAAGGTGTTGAGCACCTACCACCTTTTAACTTTCTCTTCAGAAATGATTCTTCGCTTACAGTTCACTATTCAGAGAAATGAACATGGCTGTATCTTTTAGTAGTAGAGAAATGCCTCCTAGGTCTTCAGAATTTTTTTTTAAAGCAAAGACTTTTGAAAAGTCTGATGGCTCCACCAATATCATTATCTTACCACTTAGCTTTTGCTTGACTCAGTAGTGTTCTGAACTTTGCTTTATAGAGTGTTTGTATAAAGTGTTGTCTCATTTGTGTGTGTAGCTTTATTTGTTCGATATGTCAAGAAGACCAATGCAACTGACTTACCTCATCATTACTGATTTAGGTCCAGCCAAAACACGTGAAGGAAGCTTTTCGGTTACTAAATAAGTCAATCATCCGTGTGGAAACACCTGATGTCAATCTAGACCAAGAAGAGGAGACGCAGATGGAAGTTGATGAGGGTCCAGAGGGTGTCAACGGTGAGACATCTGTTTAGGGACACATTTTGAGTTACAGATCGAAATTTTGTTTGGGTGTAAGATGATCCATGTGTATTTGGTGGTGGATAGGAAACCTATGTAGTAAAAGGGGCACTGTGGATGTCTATTAGACTGTTTATAAAAAAAATTATGCTTAAGACAAAATACACCAAAACAGTGGTAGCAGACTTGCATCCTTTGGCCTCCTACCTTGTATTACTGTTTGCTTATGAATTATAACATTTTTTCAATCATATAGAAATCATACTTCAGTCATATCAGGTAAATACCAGATTTAATTTTATATCTACTAGCACAAATGAAATATCATGAAACTTTATATCTCATATTTCCTACCAATTTGGTTGTTTTTACTAATAGAGTTTATAAGTTTGTTTCTGATTTACTTCTGATTTGTAAAATAATTAGATGCTGTGTTTAACTGTATGCTTATTCTGGAATGACTATTAAGTATAAGCAGGGCACTTGTAAATGGCTGGTGAGGAAATTTTGCAGGTACGAAGATTTAGGTGGTTAATGTTTCACTTAGGTCATGCTGACAGTCCTGCCCCTGTGAATGGAATCAATGGCTACAGTGAGGACATAAATAAAGATGCTGTTTCCAAAGCCTCCTTTAGGCTGGGCTTCTCTGAGTACTGCCGAATCTCTAACCTCATTGTGCTTCACCTCAGAAAAATGGAAGAAGGTGAGAACACTACCTAACTCTTTAGTTGTTGCGTAAGCTGCTGTTAAGCTGTGTGGCACCGTGTCAAGGAGATGAGAAATCCTTACACAGTCTCTGTAGCAAAAGCAGTTTATGGAGTATCTGCTTAATTTGCCGGCCTGAACATTTCCCCACAAGTTCATTGTCAGGTAAAGGGATATGGATTGTTCTTAACATCCTGGGGCCTAGTAAATAATTTTGAAGTGGAATGTATGATCTCATATGGCAGGGCATGGTGTTCATGCCTATAATACCAGCAATTGGGAGGCTGAGGCAGGAGGATTACTTTGAGTTTGAAGCCATCCTGGGCTACACAGTGAATTAAATTCAAGGCCAGTCTGAATTTAGCGAGACGCCGTATCCACAAAAAAGGTCAAAACTTGGGTGTTAACGTATAAAGAAATACACACAAATGTTTTCTACAAATGTTAGATGTAAATTACTACTTTCATTGACTATTCAAAATAGATGGATTCCCAGTGTATTACTGTTTCATTGGCAAATTGAGCCTAAGTTATTGCTGATTAAAAATGAATTGAGGGGACCGGGGAGATGGCTCAGTGGAATAAGCGCTTCCCTGGCAAGTACAAGGGCCTGAGTTCGATCCCCAGTTCCGCCAAAAATAAAAAAATAAAAATAAAAATGAATTGAAACACTCATCTGCCCATCAGGAAAGTGTGTTATCCGGGCAGTGGAACATTTCTTACCCTTGCCTGCTTTACCATGCAATTCAGGGTTTTATCATCCTACAGTCAGTTACAAGGCTAGAAGAGAAATGGTGATATGAAAGAGTGAAAATTAAGCTTCTGATTAGTTAAGCATCAGGTCAAAGATAATTCTGCTAGCTTCTGCACATACATTATGTCATCCTCTCCTTCATACAGCTAAGTTTTTGTTGCAGTGGAGAGTGTTTATTTGGTTTTGGATTTTTCAGACAGGATCTTCTGTATAGCCCAAGCTGACCTTGAACTTGTGGCAGTCCTCCAGCCTCAGCCTCCCAAATGCTTGGATTTCAGCCAGGTGGCACCACATCCATCTTGTTTTGTCTTTGGTGTTTATTGTTGTTTTGTGATGCTGGGGATTGAATCCAGGGCCTTTGGACTAAACTACATCCCCAGCTTTTTTAAAAAATTATTTTAGGGCTGGCAAGATAGCTCAGTGGACTAAGCGCAGGGGCCAAGTTTGATCCTTGATATGTCATGCCAGCCGCTGCACTCAGGCTGAAGCAGGTAACAGAGTCCAGGTGTGGTGACGCACGCCTGTAATCCCAGCCCTGGAGAGGCTGAAAACGAGGATCACTACAAGTCCGAGCTGCATGGTGAGACCCTATACCAGATACATTTAAAAAAGAAAGCCCTATTGTTTTGAGACAGTCACTTCCCAGGCTGGGCTTACTTTCACCTAGAAAATGCATTCCACAGGAATTTCTAGTGGGCCTTACTGCCTTACCCAGTAAAGTAAGTTATTCTCAGTCTTCAAGTAAGTAGCTGTGCTCTGGCACAGGGAACACAGCTCCCAACCCCAAAGCCACTTGCCCAAGAACATTTGACAACTACAGAAATTTCAATCAGCCATAATAAAACTTGTCAAAGACATTATTATTAACTGATACTTAAACTGAAAATTTCAAATTTAAACACTGTGTGTGTGTGTGTGTGTGTGTGTGTGGGCTGGTTGGCTGGGGATTGAATGCAGGGCTTATGAATGCTAAGTGCGCACCCTGCCACTATTTCTGTGATAGCTATGTTATCCAGGTTCCAACCCTTTTTGTGAGTTCTACTTTAAACTTTATAAAGCAGCAGTTAATGAATAGACCTTGCAAGAATAAATTGGTAAGTTTTAATTTTGCATGACTGAATTCCACTGAGTCACTACTCCATTCCATAAAGTCTTCCCTATTTAAAGAGGAGAAGGTGCATTTTGCCTGTGGTGCTCCCTCCTAATGGGTGTGTTCAGTTGCTGCTGGTGAGCGTTCTCCCAGGCGATGGAGGGCAGGTCAGGGAAGAACCTCATGTGGTGCTCTGAAATCTTAATGACTTAAGAAACTTTTTTTTTATTATAATCATGATTTTAGTGGGTTTGCTCCAGTTCTGGGTAGAGCAAGGCCTACTTTAAAGTGAGTGCTAAGACAGGTTATTTTGGGCTTGGGTATATTTACTTCCCGACAGGTTGTTGATTATCTCATGGTGCACGTTCTCTTGTGAGTGTAAACCTCAAGAACTGGCGGTGTGCTGTGCTAGAAAATAATTTCTTTTAAAAAAAAAAATAATTTTAGAAGATAATTCTTTAACTATATTTTGTGTTACAGAGGAGGATGAGTCAGCATTAAAGAGGAGTGAACTTGTTAACTGGTACCTGAAGGAAATTGAATCAGAAATAGACTCAGAAGAGGAACTTATAAATAAAAAGAGAATGATAGAGAAAGTCATTCACCGCCTCACACACTACGTATGTACATCACTGCAGTACCAGTGAGGGGAGGGGTGGTATCGTTTGTGTGTGGGTTCATTAGTAGAATTTTTTTTTCTTCCATGAAATCAGTTTATTGTAAATGATGAACAAGAACAAGGAAATGTGTTCATGTATTTATTTAAATGGCTGAGGTATGGTCAGAATTGTGAGTTAGAATTAGTGGCAAATAAATGACTACTTCTTTTAATTTAACAAAAAAAAAAAGACCAGGGAGATAGCTTAGTAGAATAAGTGCTTGCCTGGTAAGTGCAAGGGCCTGAGTTCAATCCCCGGTTCTGCAAATAAAACAAAATAAAATAATAATTTAGGTTAAATATGGAAAAGTAGCTTTGACTTTTTTGAGTGCTAACTTTCTATCTTGTGTCCCTATCAGCCATGTGTGCCTTTGACCTTTTCTTTTAATTTCTTTTTTATCTTACTTAGAAAAACCCCAGCTTTAGTTAAATTTAATTCCCATCTGTCCAAGCTCCATACAGCTAGCTGTAAGTATCTCAAGAGAAGCATACAATCAGGGACCTGGTTTTCTTTAAATTCATGGCCACAGATCCCAGGGGAATAGTTTTTTGTTTGTTTGGGTTTTTTTTAATCAGTTTCGTAGTAATGCTGCACTATGATTATTCTCCCTACTGTCAGTTCATTCTCATATTTTGTGTTTTCCTTTTCTGCTCCCCTGCCCCCCATCATCTAGGCCAGTTTGGAACTTGCTGTGTAGCCCAGGCTGGCCTTGAATGTGGTCCTCTTACTTCAGGTTCCTGAGTGCTGGGATTATACTTGCAGCTGTCACATCTCCTGTAAACTCCAGTTGTGTATTATAGCCAATTGTGTATTGATGAATAAGCCTCTTGCTTATTATGTTCAAAAAGTTACTCCTCCACCCCTAACATGAGAGGCCAAACACCTTGGAATTACCCCCAGTTTCTTTTCTTTTTACTGCCTTGACCAACCCACCCAAGCCACCATACCTGAACTCCCTCAGCAGCCTTGCCCCCTTGTACTGACTGTGCAGAGCCAGTCAGTTCTTCGGAGAACATAACTTTTTTTTTTAGAATGTAACTTTTTTTTATCCTTTTGCCTATGCCTTTCTCACATTTAAAGTGTAGCTTCCTTACCATGTTATACAAAATCCTAGACAGTCTAGCCCAGTGATGGCGAGCCTTTTGGATCTTTCAGTGATAACAAACGCTGGCTTCGGCACATGTGCCATAGGTTCCCCACCCCTGTCTCTTTCGTCCACCTCCTTCCATAGTACTCTTGCTTGTTCTGTCCCAATGGGACTGACCTTGTCCCTGTTCCTGAGGCACGCCTTTGCGCTTGTCCTTTGTCTCCTCAAGACACCCTCCTCTGTTCTGCTTACGTGTTACCTTTCCAAAGACCCTTTCCTTGCCTAATGTTGAAATAGGCGTCTGCACCGGCTGCCACCCAGATTTGTGGTCTTCATGGTGTGTATTTTGCTTGGCAGTGTATTCTTTATTTAGGTGTTTCATTTGTCTCTGCAGAATATAAGTTCCATTCTAGGAGGGCAGGGATGGCTGTATTCCCAGGGCCTGTAGTAGTGCCTGGCACAGTGGGGGTCAAATAGTTGTTGAATGACGGGGGTTTTCCTGCTCAGAAGGCAGAGCCAGCCATTCCGGTTCACTCTCCACTACTCACTGTACTGAAAATATTACTTCTGTGTCAGGGCTATGTCATCTGAAAAAGGGTTTACCTGTGGGTCAGGTGGACCTATCATTGCAAGTACGAGTACCAGGGCTGAGAATTGAAGTGGATGTGCACCACGTTGTCTTTGCATAGGCCAGTTCCTCTCTCCCTAGCACCAGTTGGGATCCATGATAATTTTCTTGGAAAATTATCCAAGAAATCTACATCAGGACTGTGGAACAAACACGTCATGAAGCTAATTAATGTAAACTAAACTTTGGCTCATTGCCTGACTTTATTTGTATCACAAGACAACAGTGACTAGTTCCTCTTTTTTTTTTTTTTTTGCGGAACAGGGGATTGAACTCAGGCCCTTGCACTTGCTGGGGAAGTGCTTATTCCACTGAGCCATCTCCCCGGCCCCTACTAGTTCCTCTTGATGGCGTCAGTGTTCCGACTGTGGGGCTCTGCCAAACTGGATTCTGATGCTTATAGAGTTAAGACTGTGTGGTATATAAAAGAGTGCACTGGCCAGTAATTATAATTAACAAGTAATATTAAATGAACTTAAACACTCAAAATATGAGAGAACTTTGCACAATTACACTATCTTAAAATTCAAGCATTGCTTCCTTTTCGAGTTCATTTATAAGCATTTGATGTCATGTGCCAGTAAAAATCATAGTATTTGTTGAATATATGTAAGTTTCTTAATTTTTTAAGTATGTTTATGGTATGCAGCATCTTAAATGAGAAGAGTTTAGCAGAAAAGTAGTGATTTTAAGGTATAAATCTTTGTCCTGGGAGTTTTGCATGGAGAAATGCGTGCTGCAGACATTCAGATGGGGCCAAGAACACTGCTGGAGACCTGAGGGACAAATCTTTCTGTTTCACAGGACCACGTTCTCATTGAACTCACCCAGGCTGGGCTGAAAGGCTCCACAGAGGGAAGTGAGAGCTATGAAGAAGATCCGTACCTGGTAGTTAACCCTAACTACCTGCTCGAAGACTGAGACGTGGAAAGTAACGGACAAGAGTCGATGAACTGAGGAAAAGGATCTTCCAGCCTGGAGTCCGGGTATGGCTCTGCCAGAGAGAAGAATGCATTTGTTTTGTTTTTAATTACTATTTCTTTTATTCATCAAAATAAAGTAATTTGTTCTGAAGTCTATTGGATTTATTTTTCTTTTACTCTGATTATTGTGTGGGATGGGGGTGGAGGATTGTTCGTTTTTGAGATGGGGTCTCGATAAGAAGTCTGGGCTGGCATTGAACTCACTGTGATCCTCCTGCCTTGGCCTCTGTATTACTAGAATTACAAATATGCACCAGCACTTGTGCCCAGCTATGTTCTTTTGGTTAATGATATAAAGATTTAAAAATAAAGAATGTAGATTTAACAAAGGATAGTGTATATTGGATGACAATTAACAACCAAATGAAAAGATGGGGAAAATTTAGCAGTACTGGAAATTGAACCCATGATCTTTGCCTTGGTCTGCATCCCCAACCTTCCCCCCACCTGTCGGGGGAGGGGGCACACAGTCTCAGTAAGTTGCCCAGGCTGGGATGGAAGTTGTGAGCCTCTTGTCTCAGCTTCTCACAATGCTGAAATTCTAGGCATGCACCACCACACCAGCTGGAGAATGTATTTTCTGTATTGTTTTAATATGTGATCTACAAACTGGGGTGTTTTTATGATACGAGAAATTGGATAAAAAAAATTTCAATAGCTACTGGGCACCGGGTCAGGTGGCTATAGACTCAGCTGCTCAGGAGACTGAAGCAGAAGCCCTTGAGCCCAGGTGTTGAAGGAAGACAGATGGCAAGTCTCAAAAAAAGTGAAGAATTTCACCTCTAAACAGAAATAAGGGAAAAAATGCTAAGAGATAATACTTAAATTCCAGGCTTGGCACATGCATGTAATCCTAGAACTTGGAGGCTGAGGCAGAGGAGTGTGAATTCAAGAACAGCCTGGGCTACATAGGAAAACCCTGTCTCAAGAAAAGACCAATATAGGAAATATATACACATGATATAATTGAATGTTATGCACATACTTGTTTGCATTTTTATGTATCACTGAGTTGCATTGTTCTAAATATGTCACATTTAATACCCACAACCTGTCACTAACAATTCTTTGTACAGGCGAAGAAATAGGCACAGAGAAGTTATTTCCCCCGTTTTAACCCTGGCATTCTGACTGCTAAATAACCATTATGTTTTATGGAGGAAAAAAAAAAAACTGGAAAAATCAATGTTTTTGTAAGTGTTTAAGGAAAAGGAGTGGACAGCACTTTGCAAGGTTTTAAGGATGTTTCTATGTTGCTTGAATGTGTTCATCATTACTTGTCTCATAGTTCAGGTTAGCTTTAAATTCACTGTAATCCAAACAGGCCTTGAATTCACACTGATTCTCCTGCTTCAGCCTCCCAAGCCGTGGATTGCAGGCATGCACCACCATGCCCAGTTTATTCACTCGCGTATTTTCAAAAGAGCAGGTTAGTAAAGGACTCATTTTTGCTTTATTATTTCAGGATATTTAAAGTAGTATGAGAAAAAGTGAAATTGTTTTTCAAATTGGTGCCAGTTTTAAGATTTTTGTTATTCTCTCTTATAGCCCTTATCTTTTAAAATATTACATTGGTAAGCCATGTAATGATTACAAATCATAGATAACCCAGTTAAACATTATTAATAATCGCTTAGTACTTTACAACCTCAGCTATAGTTATAAAGTCAGGATTCCCTCCAGCCAGCTCCTGAAAGCTTGAAAATGGAGCCATCGTGGAAGGTGGTCCTGCTGATTCTCCTGAGTGTTCCCTGCTGGGCGTCAGACTGGAAATCAGATAAAAATTTCCTGTCAGCGGCTGGCCCTCTAACTCAGGGCTTACTGCACGACCTTAGCCACCTCCTGCGAAACCAGAGTTCTCAGTTTGTAGCTGGGAACCAGGACGTGTATACTTGCCACCAGCCACTACCCTCTTTCCTGCCTGAGTACTTTTGGAGCCTCCATACCAGCAAGGTCACCTACTATAAGGTGTACCTGTCGTGGGCACAGCTGCTCCCTGCAGGAAGCTCCGGGAGCCCAGATGGGCAGACGCTGCGGTGCTACCGGCGCCTCCTGGAGGCCCTCAGGACCGCGCGGCTGCAGCCCATGGTCATCCTGCACCACCAGGCTGCGCCCACAAGTGCTCTCCAGAGCGCCGAGGTCTTTGCCGACCTCTTTGCAGACTATGCCACCTTCGCCTTTCACTCCTTCGGGGACCTCGTTGGGATCTGGTTCACCTTTAGTGACTTGGAGGAGGCGATAATGGGGCTTCCCAACAAGGAATCCAGAGCTTCACGTCTCCAAACCCTCACTAATGCCCACAGAAAAGTCTACGAGATATACCGAGCAAAGTATGCTTCTCAGGGTGAGTACATTGCCCCTGTGACTGACCACTGTCTGCTGTTGCACCTCCTGCCCCTCTGCTGTGGACTAAAAGCCAGCGGACCCTGGAAGGGGCAGCTTGTGTTGCACAATACCCAGAACCTTATTTCCTTTTAAAATGACGTTAACCCCCAGCCCCCTGAATGTCCTTCCTTTCCCATGAGCCCAGCCTTCCCAAGGCTCCAAGGTGTCTCATGTTTCTCCTAGACCCTCCATGGTCTTAAGACCAGTTCTACACTGACTGGAGGAGGCGGGGGGCAGGGAAATGCAGGATAAAATAATGGCGTACAGGTACATTTTCCCCCATTGATAGAGATTGAACCCAGGACCTCAGCTCGTACTCCACCACTGAGCTACAGCCTTAACCCTGAGAAGACTGTGATTTTAATTATTCGTATTCCTGTTTCATGTTAAAGTTCTAATTCAGTAGGTGTAGGCAGAACTAAGATATTTGTCATTTTAATAAATTTCCTAAGTGAACATTAGGTATAGCAAATTTGTTTTGGAGACACGGTCTTACGGGTGTAGTTTAGGCTGACCTTGAAGTCACTGTTTACCACAGGCTGGCCTCGAACTTGCAGAGGTCCTCCTGCCTCAGCAAGTCCTGGGATTACAGGCCTGTACCACCATGCCTGACAGGTATAGCAGTTTTAAGAACCTGTTTTGAACTATATATGCTTTCTTATTTTTAGTATGTGCTATATATAAATGCCATTTTTTCTCCCTGTATTTAGGACAGGGTCTACAGATCAGACTTACAGTGATTCTCCTGTTTTCAGCTTCCCAATGGCTGGGATTACAGGCACGCCACTACACCCAGTCTCAATCACTGCCTTAACGTGCCCCTGGGGCAGGGCCAGCATGGCACACCAGGGATCAAACCCGAGCTACTGCGCTCTGCCGAAGCTGGGGCTTTAGCCTGCTGAGCTATAAGGCCAGCCCTAGCAATATTAATATATTCATACTTGGGGGCCAGGGAGATAGAAGACTAAGTACTTGCCTGGTAATTGCAGGGTCCTGCGTTCAATCCCTGGTACTGCAATAAATAAATAAATAAATATTCATACTTTTACTCTTTCAACAACATTTTATGAGGATATAGTATTAAACATTTTTTGATGAGAGGACTGAGACTCAAACCCAGAGCTTGACACATGCTAGGCAAGTGCTGAAAGCCACATCCTAAGCCCTTAAAATTTTGAAAATGTGATTTTCAGTGGCCTTACAAGTTCCCATCATATGAATAGTTCATAAAGTTTAATTATTTCCCTCTTTTTTTTTCATTGTTTCTGTTTTTGCAGTGCTAGCGATCAAACCTAGGGCCTCATGCATGCAAAGCAAGCCGCCTACTACTAAACTACACCTCGAGCTTTTCATATATATATAAATTCCAGGGCTGGTGAGATGGCTGTGTTCTAAAGTACCTACTTAGAACAAGCTTAGCACAACACAGGGACCGCGGTTCGATCCCCCAGCACCACATGCCAGCCAGCCCCACCCCCTGGTGGGCTGAGCTGGCCACACACACACACACACATATTCCAATTTTCACTACTAGCAGTTATGTTACAGTGAACCTTCCTCTATGTCAGTTCTTGGTGAGGCTGGGGAGCTAGCTCAGAGGCATTAGCACCTACCTGGCAAGCACTAGGACCCGAGTTTGATCCCCGGACATGGTGGCACATGCCAGTAATCCCAGCACTTAGGAGGCTGAGACAGGAGTATCACTGTGAAATGGAGACCAGCCTGGGGGCTACAAAATGAGCACAAGTTCAGTCCAAACTGCATAGCGAGACCCTGTCTGGAAAAAAAAAATCTTGGAAACCTTCTGATAGATCCCTTTCTATAGACTTCTTGGAATTGAAACTTGTGATTGAGAAGATCTGCATTCTTCTGATTCCATTTTACCAGTTTTAAACGATATAATTTTATCAGCCAAGTGTGGTAAGTGCACACCTGTAACCCTGGCTCTTAGAAGGCTGACACAGGAAGATCGCCACAAGTTTGAGGCTAGTCTGGGCTTCATAGTGAGTTTAAGGCTAGCCTGAACCACATAGCAAAGCCTTGTCTCAAAAAAACAAGAATAACAAGAGATAAAACTGGCCTCGAGCTCACTTTGCAGCCCAGGATAGTCTTACTCACAAGGACTTTCCTGCCTCAGCCTCCCGAGTGCTGGGATTACAGGTGTGTACCATCATGACTGGCTCTTGCTCTATTCTCGAATTTAACCTGAATTGTTCCTGTAGTAAAAAATCTTTTCACTCAATGAAATTTTTTATAAAGAAAAGTTCTTTTTTGTAGTATGATCAAACTTATCCATCTTTTCTTTTGGTTGCTTTTATGTGATTGATTTTTTTGGTTTTGGTTTTTGTGGTGCTGGGGATCAGATACAGGGACCTGGCCCCTGCTAAGCACATGCTGAGCCCCCCAGCTACACCCCCAGCCCATCTGAAGTATTTTTTATTGTATTTTAGGGAAGGGTCTACAGGGTGTTCAGGGTCTCACTACTAGATCGGACTCATAGTGAGCCACCTGTTTACAGCCTCCCAAGAGCCGGGATTACAGGCGTGCGCCACTACGCCCAGTCTCAATTGCCAGCTCAGCATACCCCAGGGTAAGGCCAGCACGGCAGGCCCAGGAATTGAACCCCCAGCCCCTGCACCTGCTAGGCACTTTAATCCACTGGGCTGGCCCTCTGATAGTATTTTTCAATGGGGCTATACTTTTTGCTTTTTAATTTTTTTTTAAATTTTTT